TACGTATCAACTTGTTCATTTTGTGGTCGGTCTTTTGGGCAGAACACCTTTGATGTGTAACATAATTTTAAAAAATAAATATGTTAAAGAGCTGAATTTCACTGTGAATCATATAACACAGTTTTTGATGGAACATTTAATAATATGGTATAAGAAGTTCAATTTTCTTAATGGTAAACCATTTTCTCTGTGATTTTAGTAGCTACCTTTTACCTTTTGCTATATATTTTTATTCCAACTTTAAGGAAAGGCAAAAATGCATTGGAGACAGGAAGGATAAACTGACTATTGTGTGCTTAAGTGTATGTAGAGTGAGTCTGAGAATTCATTTATTAGATTAAAATGGGAAGATCTAATCAGCCCAGCCCTGACCAGCCTCATGAGCAAAACAATTTTCTGGTAAAAATCCAGGGATAAGTCATTGAATAAGTAGGTTATAACTTGGTTTAAAAGCACTGATTAAATCTAGAGACCACTAGCTACTAACAAAGTAAAATCAAGAACTAACACAGATGATATGTTTCTTAAACAGCAGAGAAACAAAGTCATCTCTGAGCTGAAAAGAGTTGAATTCTACTTAGCACAATCTAAAAATAACAACAATTTCTAATATCAGTCTGTTTTTTCTAGCTGATAAACAACACGACAACAAAGACCCGATCAAGGATGTCAGGTTTTAGTTCCTCTCGTTATACAAAAGGACACAATGCCTGTTACATGGAAGACGGTAGCTGTCATTCCTGTCATTTAATGTGGCAACCAGACTGGAGCCAGTATAAGTCAATATATATTTCAAAGCCAATCATTTCTTATTGTGTCAAAAGAACTGTAACTGAACAACTGACAAAACACTTAGCATTAGTCATTTTCTTCCTTGTTATTCACAATGTGGCCTCTGGAGTCACTTGTATGTTATACAATAAAAGGAAACTATAATGTTGTTGCAGATATTTCTACATACTGTACATGAGTGTAAATCATTTAATCAAAAGGTTGTCTTTTGGAGGGTCATCATTTACCAATAACAGCAAGAAGCATGATATTTATAGTGTATTGTAACCTATAATTCATAGTCCCTACAGATTTATCCTGGATGGCATCCAGTGTAAAACTTGTGCCAAATCACATATGTGCATTGCAGTGATCTGCTGTGGTGACCCCCTAAACAATATGGAGCAGCTGAAAAAGGAACTACAACATAAATGATCTCCCACAACACTGTAGTGAGGTGAAATTAGATGTATGCTGACAATATGGTTGTATATACATATTGTATTGCCACTTCAAAGCCGTGGCTAGTGTTACATAGCTGTTCAGTCAGTCATGCTGATCATCTGTACAGCTGGGAATTTTTTTTTCTGACTGACTCTGCATATATCATCTCTCTCCACAGTCTAGTTTTAAACACAGAAACATGACAAAATATCTACAACAGTTTTATAAAAAGCAAAGTAAACAGCTCAGTCTTCACAGATACAGATATTTTAGCATTTCAGGATTATTTTGTTTTTGCCCTACATTTTTAAGAATTGGGATCAATGATAAATAGTAAAATTGTCATAAACCAAGTCATGAAATATGTAAACTAAAAAAATAAGCCTTGCGACTACATGTTAAAACACAGTGTTGGAACCTATGACTCAAACGTCTGATTGACAGGCTTTTAAAAACATGGACTACCTTAGAAAATGACTTTAAGTTACGAATCATCTAATAATCTAATGTTTCTGATGCTGAAACATCATCATTGTTTAGACCAGTAGTGCTAATAAAAACAGAATCATTCCTCAGCAGAGCACTGACTCCTGTTGATTGTGTATATATTTTAGTGTTATTAGAATTTACAGGGTGGTATAGTTTATGTACTGAGGTTGTTGTTTTTTTAAACATGCTATGTTAATTTAAATTTGGTACAGTACCCAAAATCCCAGTCACAAAATTATTATTTTTTAAAATGCTCTTTGGTTAAAACTTACTCACTTTGTATACTTGATTTTAATGGCCATTATATGGAACATAGACAGAAAAGGAACTGCACCAGTATTAAATCAGGCTTCACACCATCAAGTACTAACTAAAGGGGCTTTACTGTAGATAGAAATGAATCCCTTTACAAGTAATTTCACTCGACTAATTTCTCTACATAGTTCAGTAACAAAATTAATAGGGAGGAACAGCTGATAAAGGGATCCAAGTATGAAGCTTTATTCAGGAGCATTATGGTTGCAGGCCGATTTGGTACCTCAGACCATTTTTGATTTGCAGTAATTTAGCCAGCCATTAATTCCAAATCACAGCCATAATTAAGAGCAGGAAGTAGTCTAGCCTAGGAGTTTTGTACCAGTACTCTGATAGTATAGCATGGTAGTTGTAGTAAATGTTTGACACAGAATGTTAAACATTTGTTTTCCTTCAGCTAAACATTTATGTGCAAAAAGACTTTTTAGGCGGTATAATATATGGTATCTGTCTGGTGCTCAGGGCAGAAAATTTGTTATTTAAAAAAAGAAACAGCCAAAACACCAGTAGATATCATCTTTAACCTTCACAAACAAAGGTTATTCAGAATGTTGGTCTCCTCCACTGCCTGCGCGACATGTCTGAAGCTAACAAACAGGCCTGCTGTCTTCCACTAGAGATACACAACAGCATTATTGAGCACATGCACCAATTTCTCTGTCTGGCACCTACATATTGATGGTTGTTGTTTTAAAACAATGGCCTCCCTCTGAGTGTAATAGCCCTGGCTGGGTCTCTTATTTGTCTGGCAGGATCATATTCCTGCAACACTGTGCACTGACTGAGGTTACCATTTGTAACGTAAAGGGAAAATAATTCCCTTTCAGCCACTATGAGGTCACACAGCAATTCTTTTATGTTACATGGCTTGGAGGGGAATGTGTACATATGCCTGATTCTGTGTGTGTGAGGCAAATGGAGCACCTCCCTGATTGCCCCATTGCAAGAGACATTTATGGGAAAGCAAAACCTTGTGTAAACGTCATTTGCACCAGTTATTAGAAAGGTGTGGGGACAGCTGGGCTGCAGTTAAGCAGGGGGTATGGCAAGCTAATGAT